GCTATGTGTTACCCATTACTGTGATGGAAGAAGTACAGCATCTGGGACAGGACAGATCTTGATGAAACTTCTGGCTGGGTCACAATAACTGTCATTGAACCTTTTTGAGTACATTTCTCAACTGTGAAGAAGGAACCCATCAGGTGACTGTAATGATTTTAAAAAGTGCGTATCTTGTGCTTGTCATATAATTGGTGCCCATAAATATTAGTTTTCCTTTATTCTTTCCATTTTTACATTGTAATATAGGACTTGGATGTGGGAGCTTACTAAATAATTGTTATTGGATGAATGAAAGAAAGGGGAGGCCAGTTCTGGCAAACTTAAAAGGGGTTTTTGATAGAATGAGAGAAAGACCAACTTCATGCTCCCATGCCATATTCATGCTTGTTTCAGGACCTCATATATGTTGTGTTCTGTACTGGAAATGCCATATTGTGCTTTGACTATTGACTGAACCCCTTTAAAACTCTGCTTAGATATCCCATATTGTGAAAAATTATTTTATCAGTCCTCATTAACTATTTCCTTCTTTGTATTATTTCTGCAGTTTACAAATACCTCAGCATATTGTAGATAGGTTAACAACATCCATGTTGCTGCTCTATGGCTGTCCTCTCCTGGAGGGTGGGGATGAGTGGCTTATATACCTCAGTAACACCTCATGCATGTCACATGCCAGGAACTCACTACATGATTAATAGTGAATTTATGGGACAGTACTGGGACTTGATTTCTAATCTGTAACTTCCACCCATGTATCTATGTATCTGTCGATCATCTATCTAGAAAGTGAGATAAGCTAGACAAGAAGAATGCTGACTAAAATGTCTGGCTCTGTCACTTGTGAACTGTGTAAGCTTAGTGAAGTTACACAAATCCCTCTCAGTTTCCTTATTTGGAAAATGGAAACAATAATAGTATTGGCTTCTAGAATTCCAGAGGTAAGTGAATTAATACATGGGAAATTTTTGAACCAAGGCTGGCCCGTAATAAGAAATGCTCAGTGAATGTTAGCTACTACTGTATATTAGAAAAAGTATTTTAAGAACTGTTTTAGAGTCAGATAACCTTGAGTTGGAGTCCTGGGTCTCTATCTTCCTGGCTAAGTGTCCTCGGCTGGGTTGGCAACTTGAGTCTATTTCTTCACTTCCAAAATGGAAATAATACTGGCATAATCTCATGGGATTAAAGAAGGAAGTTAATGAGAAATTACTAGTATGTCCTTTTAGGAGTGTTGTTGCTGTTATTATTTTGTGGTGCTTTAAACTTATCCAAGCTATTGTAAGTAAATACATTTCTTGTGCTTCTCACAGTAGTACTGTGAGCTACGACAGATGGTTTTCTGACTATTTTATGGGTGACGCGACAGATGTACACATTGAGTGCCTTGCATAAATTCCTCAGTTACTTAGCAGGGGAGCCAGGGGCAGGACCCACATTTCCTATCTCCTAGTTTCTTCCAATAGAAAGCAGTTCCTGAGATTTGACTTAGAAGTACAAGGGAAAGTGGCAGGTTAAGGTCTAACAGATGTCCAGTGACTCCCCTGAGGATGGATGGATGGATGGATGGATGGATCCAGGGTGGATGTTTCCTAGTGGTGAATCAGTGGATTGCAGTGTTTTTTTGGGGGGGTACTGTTTAAAACGCACCCGCCTCATCTACACATGGACATAATGGAGGAGGACAAATTAGAAAGAGTTCCCTTATTCTGGCTGGGCTGGCTGTAGACTATAGTGTCACCCCCAAAGCTTTGCTCTTAGGCCTACTAGGGCTTTCTTGAGAGCTACAGGCAGAGAGAATAAAAAAGCATGCATCGACAGTGGTGGGAGGGTGTGAAGGAAGGGAGCTGTAGGCAGTTGCTTTGCTGGTTTGAAGGAGTGAAAATTATGGTCTCCCACTTTGTCAGTGATTGAGCACTTTTGGGTCAACTTTTAGTTTAATGGAGCCTAGAGTGATGAAAAGAAATACAGGGGGGATGGTTGACTTATTTCATTGGGTACTCAGCTGCAAGAAGTGAAGCCTCATCCTCGTTCCACCTGACTGCTGTTGTGCCTCTCACATGCTGGTTGCATAAGTGTTGGTAGGGTTGAGTTAATTAGGAGATCAATGAGAGGTTCAAAGATGTTGTATTCCCTACCCCCCAATACAGAGTAAAGACAGGAGCCAGACCTTAAGGATTTCAGAAGCATATGGGTTCTTACTGCCCACTCACCTATGTACACTCCACTACTTTGATGCTTGTGTCTTTCTTCTTTGTTTCATCAAACATCCTCTTCCAGCTAAGAAGGCATGGATGTCTATTCAAGTGAAGCTTTTTAAATGCCAGGGACTGTTTCACTTGGATTATTTCAATAAAGGCTGGGGGTGTGGGCAGCGCTCCTGGGTGGCTCAGTGGTTGAGCATCTGCCTTTGGCTCAGGGCGTGATCCCAGAGTCCTGGGATCAAGTCCCGCATGGGGCTCCCCACAGGGAGCCTGCTTCTCCTTCTGCCTATGTCTCTGCTTCTCTCTCTGTATCTCTCATGAATGAATAAAATCCTTAAAAAAAATAAAGACTGGGGAAGCTGTGGCTCCCAGTCCCCCTCAGTCACCTGCCGCCTTGCAGTATAAGTTCACAGCTCATACCAAGCAGTAGGCCTTGGAGTATTAAGCAGTGCAGTATTCTTAGAACCAACAAACTGTTGAAAACATGGCAGGGCAGCTGTCCAGTAGCTTTTAGGGTCAGCTGGAATGGGGACTGAGTTGATGATGAACATCTCCAGCACTGGGATAGAAGGAAGTTGCAACTGCAAAATACCTAGCTCAGTACCTGGCACAGGGCAGGTAAAGTGCTGATACATGGTGGTGGTTATTGCTGCCTGAGGTTCAATCTCTAGGGCCTCCCCTTCCTGTTCTGGTCTAGGAGTCTTGGATGTTTTTTCTGATGCATCCTTTGAATGGCCTTTACTCTGAGATCTTTGAATCTGCTCTTAACTCTGAGATCTTTGGCAAATTCCTCCCACTCTCTGGATTTCAAACTGTAAATCTATGTGCTAAAGGTATGTGTAACTTTAGGGGGTTTTATGTGGAGTTCAGGTAGCCTGCAGGGGTGCCTGTGAATCCCTTAAAACCGTGACCAAAATTATTATTAGATGTGTTGTGGGGAGCACTCTTGGCTCCAGTTAGTGAAGAACCACTGTCCATTGGGATTCTTGGATGCCTCTAAGTGTTCTCTGATACCACTCAGTGTCTCAAAGTTCAATAAACATGTTCCCGGTGGTTCGCAAAAATGATTGTAGGTGGTACACGGGTATGTTTGTTATATCACTCATTATGTGATTATTTTAATGTTAAAAAATATTAAAACGGACATTTCATGATTATCGTTTCTTTGGAGGAGGCTAAGTCTTGCTTTTTAAAAAAAGGTGACTTAAATGAGTAATAGCACAGAGGTAGGTTGATACCTAAGTTTGAGCAACAGTTATCTCCCCTGACCCCCACCTGGTACTGAGAGAGGAGATGAGTCTCAGGAGCAGAAAGGCCAGAAGGAAGTTGACAGTAAACTCTAGATGATAACTCACTGGTCCTTTTATTTATCCTGATATCTCTCTATAAATTGGAGAAGTTTCTGATCCTCTCTTAGGTTTTCCCCAAGAACACTGCCCCAGTCAGGCCAGGAATCCTGCTCAAAGAGTTTCTATCTGGGTCACTCTGTAGGCAATGCTTGAAGAGAGGCTCTCATTGCATCAGAGGAGAAACCTTGAGAACAGAGTCACATCTTTATCCACATACTCCTTCAGGTTTGAGAAGTACTTTTCACATTTCAGTGTTTGTGAAATTGGGCCACATCTTACAAAGTGGTGCTTCCTTAAATGCTAGATAGCTATTACCTTGCCAAGAAGCTGTTATTAAGTGGATAGTAGCTTAGTTGAAACAAGGTTCTTACACTGTTTTTTCCCCTCTTCCCAGGCGAATTATACTTGGAAAGTTGGGACTTCTAATAAATACACAACTCAAAAGAGAATTTCTCTTTAAAAGAAAAATGCTCATCTCAAACCATTTCCTGTTAATGAAATGGAAGTTAAAGGGAATGAGTCATTGTGACAGGTATGGAGATACTAAGCCTGGGCCCTGCTTTCTGGGTTCCTCCCACCTCCACTCTGAGATTCCTCTTCATATTTATAAACCCATTTGAATTCATTTAGTCTCCTTCCCAGAGGGGTGCCACGTAGAACCTTCTGGAACTTACAAGTCTGAATTCTAATCAGAAGGGGAAAGATAGAGCAGACTGCACAGGTTCAAGCAGACTTCATGATATTGTGAAAGATTCCTGACTCCCTCATATTCCGTTTTTGTAGGAAGAGAGTCCTTTGGTGAATTTGTCCAGATGGTGAGCTTGGGGTGGGTTAGAAACACTTGATGAGACTTCACAAATCAGCACTTTATTGGCCATTTCTGTTTTAGCTGCAGTGGAGGTGGATGGATTGTGACTTTCGGTTACCCAACCCAGGAAGAGGGGAGGGGGCTGCTAAGGAGACACACCCAAAAGGAACAGACCAGCCTTTCTCAGGGAACCAGGGGAGGTGCCACTGCTTCATTTAGAATGCCAGATAATAAACAACCGGGACTCGGCCTTTAGAAGTCAATGGAATAAAGAAACTGGAAAAGGTTGAAGAGAAAAAGCCAATGAACGTGTAAGTAGAGGATTATATGAAGCCATTTAAGATCACAAAAAGCAAGAGTAACAAGGCCCCAGATGGAATCTGGCCCTACATGGCCTTGCCAAGCTAACTCTGAGAAGCACTGTGTAGAAAGTGTTCTCTTTATGTCCCCTGAAGCATTCATGGGGTTTCCTAGCCAAATTCTCAGGCTGTTTCTATGGTGCTTACAAAAAAGGGCATAGCAGTGTTGATATGTCCCTTCCCTTCTCATTCTGCGTCCCTTTCGCTGCCTCGTGACATAAATCTCTGCTTCAAATGAGCCTCTAATAAAAAAGTGCTGCAGGGGCAGGAGACGCTGATTTTTTTTTCACCAAAAAAAAAAAAAAAAAGGAGAAATTCTCTAAGAGTAAACGGTGTTTATTTTTTTTGTTGATTTTTTCAATCAAATGGAATTGCTTAATTAAAAAAAAAACTTATCTCTTTTCTCTTTAAATACTACAGACAACCTCATTTTATCTCAGCAGACACCTAGAAACAAAACACTGGACCCACCAGAGAAAACTGGGCAATAAAAGCATCAGAAATTCAAGTCAACTATGGAGAATTAGTGTTAGCTGGCAGCTCTCAATTCTAAACAGAAGTGTCTCAGAACCTATTGGGTTTGACAAAAGTTTCTTAGAACTGGGAATCTGGGAAAGTTGGACTCCTTTTAATTCTATTCCAATTGTTTTCTGCATAGGGAAATTAATGTCAATGCATCAAATGAAGACCCAAAGAAACATTTAAAAACATGTCTGACTAGTATTCAGTATGTGAGATTATTAAGTAATAACTTGTCCTCCTAGTTAACCTTGTCCTGGAATATATATAGGTTATTTGTAGCCGCCACTGCTATAATATTTTCTGAAGGATGCCAAGCTGTATGCAAGATCTTTTTGCTAAAGTCCAGACTGTCGACACTGATCTCATCTTTTCTCCGCTTGCCCCCCACGCACACTTTCCGTGGTTTTAGGATAGCCCGAGGTTTGCTGTTTTCCCTCGAGGCCTCCAGGGTGACATCACGCTTGGTGTTCCTGTCAAACATTCTGAAGAAGTTGTTGTAAGAGCCTGTCATGATGACACTGCAAGGTAGAGAGAAAAGAGGGAGTCACTGAGTGCTCTGGAGGAAGGCGGTAGCACATCCCTTTTGTGTCTTCCTGGAGCTAATGACACCACATGGTGGCCAGCTAATGGTGCCAAGCGTTTTACTAAAAACCAAAAACCCAAACAGGTTTGCCTGAGTGTGGTCACAGTTTTGAGCCACTAAAAGCAACAAGCTCTTGGGTTGGTTTGGCAATGAAGGATCATGATAATCCTCCTTGTTACTTCCTTCTTCGGTTGGTAGATAGCTTTTGGTTCTTTGGCTCAGTGGGTCCTGTGGTTTTAATGATCCCCGCTCTACCTCCCATAGGACTGCGAGGGTGGAGAGGGGTCAGGAACACTTGTGAAGACACTAGTTGTGCACACTGGAAGTGTGGCTGCAGTAGTGGGGCTTCCGTGCTGGTGGAATTTCTGCCATCAGCACAGCGGGAGAAAAGCTGATACTATAGCACAGGGGAGACTGGTGTGTCCTCCCCCTGCTGAGGAGCAGCCTTGCTGGAACCCTTACCTAAGAAAATGAATGTCAGAACATGAGAGTCTCCTAACTCCGGGAAACAAACAAAGGGTAGTGGAAAGGGAGGTGGGTGGGGGGGTGGGGGGGTTGGGGTGACTGGGTGACGGGCAGTGAGGGGGCACTTGATGGGATGAGCACTGGGTGATATGCTATATGTTGGCAAATTGAACTCCAATAATAAAAAAAAAAAGCAAAATTACACAATAGCAAAATGAGACCCATGCAAGATATTTATTTGCAAACCAAATATAAACAGTTTTGTCACTGGTGCCATAATTTTCTAAGCTGGTGACCAACTTCTGACAAAGTTTCAAAACACAGTGGTATGTATACAATGGAATGTTCCTCAGCCATTAGAAATGACCAATACCCACCATTTACTTCAACATGGATGGAACTGGAGGGTATTATGCTGAGTGAAGTAAGTCAATCAGAGAAGGACAAACGTTATATGGTTTCACTCATATGGGGAATATAAAAAATAGTGAAAGGGATTATAGGAGAAAGGAGAGAAATGAGTGGGAAATATCAGAGAGAGTGACAAAACATGAGAGACTCCTAACTCTGGGAAACAAACAAGGGGTAGTGGAAGGGGAGGGTGGGCGGGGGGATAGGGTGGCTGGGTGACAGGCACTGAGGGGGGCACTTGACGGGATGAGCACTGGGTATTATACTATATATACTATATGTTGGCAAATCGAACTCCAATAAAAAAAAAAAAGGAAAAAAACAAACAAACAAAAAAAACAAATGGATGTCATTGTGGTTTCCCCCAGGAAGAGACTAAACAAACTCGAAGTTTAAAAGAATTTGGGAGGAGAAGAAAGACTTGCTAGTGGATTGACAGATGGCTTCCACATTTTTATAAGAGTGCTTCATCCTCAGACTTATTTATGATGGACAGAGGGCAGTGACTGCCAAAGCCTTCCAGAAGCAAAGAACTGACTCTTAACTGGTGACAGTTTGTACACAGGTACAGGCTGAGGGGGTTTAATGCTGTTCCAGTAACACCCCAAGGTAGCTGCTGCTGGAGAGGTGGGCTTGTCCTCATTTCTGAGTGAAGCCCTGACCAGCTGGTTAGGATGGAAGAGGAAAGCATCTCATCAGTGTTCACGTGGTGTGAGTGTGTAGACAGGTGAAGGGAAAGCTGAGAGCATGGGACCATAGCCAGGGGGACAGGTTTTTGGGTGCTGGGTCAGCTGTGCCAGGCAAATCAATCAAGGGTGAGCTTTCATAGCTCCGGTCCAGGAAATGCGGGCGGTGACATGTGTTTGTCACTGTAGCAGAAGAAGCTGTTGCCACCTTATCAGGTAGGGTGCTGACAATGTCACTTGGACTTACCTCATCCCAGATAGGGGAGCTATGTCTGAGGAAAAGTGAGTAACTTGCTCAGTGTGACACTGTGACAAAGTGGCCAAGTCAGGCCTCCAGCCCCCATCTGCCTGACCCCAGGGCACTGCACTCGGCCCTCGGCCTCTCTGCTTCCCATGAACCCACACTTGCTTCCTCCATCCTGACTTGTTTTTAAACAGAGAAAGCCCTTGTTTTTTGGTTTTTATTTGTTGGTTTGGAAACAACAAGAACAACTCTCAATCTTATCTGAACCAAGAATCTTCCTGGTTATGGAAGGAAATAGAGAAGTTATGAAAAGAATGTCGATCTTAGGATTCGAACTCAAAACTTCTTACTCTTATCTCTACTACATACTAGCTCATGAGCTGGGGCAGTTTACTTTACCTTGCTGAGCCTCAGTTTCCTCAGCTATGGAATGGGGATGAAAACAACAACTTTGTCATCTTGTGGTCAGGATTATATAACAGGATGTGTGTGAAGGCAGACTAATAAGTACTTTGTGAGTCTAGGTTAAGGTAAGTTATCAGGGTGATAACAAATATAAAAAATTTATTAATAATGGAAAAGTGAATAAATTCTATATAAACATATGAAAATATACAGAAATGTATTTATAGAAACATACAAATAAAAATTAAGAAAACAGGGCCAGGGTCAGCAACTTTCCGCCTTAGGTGCTTTGGTCCATGTATCACAGCTGCTCTGCTGTCTCTCCCCACTGCCCTATAGTAAGTGCTGTGACTTGGGTCCTCTGTCATGTGGTGGTTCTTTCCAGGCCTGCTAAGTGGAAGGCACATTTTGGTTCATTGGCAAAGGAAGCCAAATAACAGTCAGAAAACACTTGTTTTTACTAGAAGCTCCAGCCTCTGAGTGCCTTGCCCTGACAGATTGTAGTGCTTCCAAGCACTACTGTTGGTGCCACATTTCTCAAAATACTAAATCAGCTCCTGGTAGCCTGTATTTTGTTCTGGAAGCTGGAGAATCATCTGTATTTGTCAAACTAAAAATGAACCATTAGAAGGTAATATGAAGTATTGTTGAAATAAAAGGCCTTAAAACAATAATAAATCACTTTGAGGGAATATGATAAATGAGGCCAACTAGAATTCAGCTAATGAACCACCAGGGCCTTTGGCCAGGTCTACACTAGAAGTGTCTAGCATTAATTTTTGATCAGGAGAGCGCACTTCGCAATAATCTGAACTGTTTATGCTGGAATGTACTGGTGGATTGTTAGTGTTCTTCATTTCAGCCGTGTTGACCTAGCTCTGGGGGCTGCTGGTGTGTGAAACATGGGATTTTCTCACTGATGTCACATGGTCATCGGTGTCAGTCCTGAAAGATGATTCAAGGGTGTCACTACATCCCATCCTCCTTTCCAGGTCTGACCTCAAGGGAAATCCAGGGACCAACATGCTGGATTTCTGCTAGGCCCTGGGGCCTGAGTCTGACCTCCCTTTGGCCACACCCTGCTTAGGATAAATTGCCCAGGGCTTCAGCAAATACAGGGCTCACCCTCTGGAAGGTTCCCTAGACACAGAGCCCTTCTTACCTGTCTGACCCATTCCACACACACTCAAATTTATCAAAAATGCAGTCGTTTTCGTAGAGGGAGCACAACTTGCTGCGGAGGTAGTCATGAACCTGTTGGGGGAATACACCAAGACGGTCAGTTACTATTTTAAACATGCTTATTTCTGTGAAGACTTCCTCTTGGGATGTGAGCTGTTAATTCTTCCAGTATAACTGTGCCTTGAATTGGATGGCCTGGGTCAAAATCCAGTCTGGGCCCTCTGCTGCTTAGGTAGCCGGTGACATGCAGAAGGGCCCGGTAGGTGATAAGAGTCCTATTCTATAAATTGATTTGCTAATGGGCATGAGAGGACACTACTCATTTGGTCTTTAATTCAGCAAATGTTTATGGCCGGCCTGCTCGGTGCTTGGGATATGCAGTGAACAAAATACCCTTGGTGTGTTTTCATCCCAGCATAGGGGCAGGTGAGCGTTCACATGGGCCTTTTATATCGAGCAAGGTAAGGAGACATCACAGAAAGGACTGCTGAGCTGGCTATGTTGTGATCATGTGAGACAGCAGAGTCAGGGAGGCCGGTGACAGTCTGGTGACAGATGACAATGGGGAGCAGGGTGAGAACAGTGGGAGGAAACGGTCAGCTTCTCAGTATGTTTGCAAGGAGAATGGATAGGATTCGTGGATGGTGCAAATGTGAAGCATGGAAAGAATGGGAATCAAGATGGCTCCTGGATCTTTCTCTTGAGCAAGTAGAAGGATGGACTTGCCATGTTCATTTTTGGGTACGATAATTTGAATAGGTCTGTGCGGGTGGAGCTGTAAAGAGACTCTGATGTAAAGGTTGCGGTTCTGAAGTATGTGATAGTTCTCTCCTGTTTCTATTTTTCAGTGAAATAAGAAGGAAAGGTACCAGGTGAGAATGAGGCAGGGGAGGGGATGCTTGGGAATCAATGCAGCACCGCTGGAAGGCACTGAGGCCTCATGAAGTTGTTGGATGTGAATCTTACATGACACCAGTCAGCATGGTTGGGTCATTCACTCTATGTTCCATGACATGTTCTGGGTATTGAAAAGCTGAGTCATTTGGACAGTGCAAGTATGTCTAACTCTGCAAATGACTGTTCCTAGATAGTCCTGGGCCTTGTCAAGGTACCTGCCTCATTGCTTTGGTGACAAGAGAATTCATCTGCAGCAGGGCTTTGGCATTGTTAGATGGGGAAGGGGATGTGAGGGTGAGGTTTATGGCCTGTACTTGAGACATCTGCTATAAATTAACTCCTTGTCATTCCCTTCCTCTCCTGCTACCATTTGGGCATATTAGAAGTGGCACAAGACTGATGTAGGAGGCCATTTCTGTTTGTAGGACTGAAGATCTCTAGTGATTGTTAAGAGTATTTGAGCAAAGAAGCATTTTCTGCTCCTTTGAGGGCAAAGGACTGATTCTTTATCTTGACCAGGGTTTGGCAAATCTTTTCTATCAAGGCGAAGAGAATAAATATTTATGCTTCGTGTGGCATTGGGCCTCTGTGGCAACCACTCAACTCAGCCCTTGAATGCAAAAGTAGCCTTGGGTCATACATAAACAGATGAGTGGGGTTGTGTTCCAATAGAACTTAACTGATTTACAAAAACAGGTGGGGAGCAGGATGAGCCTCTGGGTCCTGGTTTTGCCTACAACAGATCTTTCTTGCCTTTTCATGGACTTTTTCTGGGCTCTTTATAATAGAGGAAAAAGGGGGCTGAGGCTTCTGAAGGGTAGTATGCCAATGGGGAAATTAATCCAGTGGGCAATGGAAGCCAAGTTTGTTGCTCTAGTATAGGCACACCCTAGAGATACTGTGGGTTCTAGACTGCAGCAATAATGTGAATATTGTAACAAAGCGAGTTAAGTGGACTTTTTGGTTTCCTAGAGCATGTAAAGGTTATGTTTATTACACTATACCATATGAAGTGTGCAATAAATTACATTATCTAAAAAAACAATGTATATACTGTAATTTAAACAAAACCTTAATTGCTGAAAAAAATGCTAATCATCTGAGATTTCCAGAGAGTTGTCCTTTTTCTGGTAGTAGAAGGACATGCCTCAGTGTTCATGGCTGCTGACTGGCCATAGTAGTGGTTGGGAAAGGCTGGCATGGGTGTGGCAATTTCTTCAAATAAGACCGAGGATTCCTCTGTAGCATGCGAAGCTGTTGGACAGCATTTTACCCACAGTAGAACTTCTTTCAAAATTGACGTCAATCCTCTCAAACCTAGCTGCTGCTTTATGAACTACGTTTATGTGATATTCTAAATCCTTAGTTGTCATTGCAACAATCTGCAGCATCTTCACCAGTGGATTCCAGCTCAAGACACCACTTCCTCTGCTCATCCGTAAGAAGCGAGTCCTCATTCTTTCAAGTTCGATCACATCTGTAAGGCTCCGCCTGCTCTCTCCACCACATCTGCAGTGGTTTCCTTCACTAAAGTTTGGAACCCCCCCAAAGTCATCCATAACGACTGGAATCAACGTCATACAAACTCCTGTGCCTATTGATAGTTTAACTCCATCCCATGAATCACCAATGTTCTTTTTTTTTTTTTTTAATAAAGAGCATAAGATGACAGAGGAACAGTAGAAGCAGTATCCCTGGTGAGCAGAGAGCCCAACTTGGGGCTTGATCCCAGGACCCCAGGATCATGATCTGAGTGAAAGGTAGATGCTCAACCAACTGAGCTATCCAGGTACCCCACCAATATTCTTAATAGTATCTAGAACAGCGAATCCTTTCCAGAAGGTTTTGCCTACACCTGTCAGAAGAATCACTGTCTAGGGCAGCTATAGTCTTATGAAATGTAGTTTTTCAATACTAAGTCTTAGAAGTCAAAATGACTCCTTGATCCATGGGCTACAGACTGGATGTTGTAATAGCAGGCACGAAAACAACATTAACCTTGTAGTACATCTCCATCTGAGCTCCTGGGTGACCAGCTGCCTTGTCAGTGAGCAGTAGTACTTTGAATCTCTTTTTCTGAGCAGTAGGTCTCAGCAGTGGGCTTAAAATACTCAGTACGCCATCTTTTAAACAGAGTACAGTCATCCAGCCTTTGTTTTTCCCTTTATAGAGCAGAAGCTGAGTAGATTTAGCATATTTCTTAAGGGCCCTGGGATTTTCAGAATGGTAAATGAGCTTTGGCTTCAACTTAGTCACCAGCTGTATTTGTTCCTAACAAGAGTCAGCCTGTTCTTTGACACTTTGGAGCCAGGCACTGACTTCCCCTCTCTAGCTATGAAACTCCTCGATGGCATCTTTTTCCAATAGAAGGCTATTTTGTCTACATTGGAAATCTGTTGCTTGGTAGAACCACCTTCACGAATTATCTTAGCTAGATCTTGGATAACCTGCTTCTCTTGAGCTTTAATGTTACAGAGATGGCTTCTTTCCTTGAGCCTCATGAGCCAACCTCTCCTAGCTTTCAGGTTTTCTTTGGCAGCCTCCTCACCTCTCTCAGCCTTGCTCTGGATTACACTTTGGCTAACGGGGATGTTGAGGCTGGTTTGATCTCCTCTCCGGACCACTCAAACTTTCTCCATATCATCAATAAGGCTGTTTCACTTTCTCATCATTCATGTGTCCACTAGGGTAGCACTTTTAATTCCCTTCAGAAACTTTCCTTTATGTTCACAACTTGGCTGTTTGGCACAAGAGGCCTAGCTTTCAGCCTACTTTGCTTTTGACATGGCTTCCACACTATGCTTAAATCATGGCTAGTTTTTGATTGATTGATTGATTGATTCATGAGAGATCCAGAGAGAGAGAGGCAGAGACATAGGTAGAGGGAGGAGAAGCAGGCTCCATGCAGGGAGCCTGATGTGGGACTTGATCCCAGGACTGCAGGATCACGCCTTGAGCCAAAGTCAGATGCTCAACTGCTGAGCCACCCAGGCATCCTTAACTTTTGATTTAAAGTGAGAAATGTGTAACTCTTTCTTTCACATGAAACTTGGAGGTCAGTGGAGGGTTATCGACTGGCCTCATTTCAATATTGTTTTGTCCAGGGAATATGGAGGCCAGAGGAGAAGGAGAGAGAGGGAGGCGGGAATGACCAGTTGGTGGAGAAGGCTGAACACACACAACATACATTGTTTAAGCTCACCATCTCATAGGGGCACCGTTCATCGCACCCCAAAACAGTTAAAATAGTAATGTCAAAGATCACTCATCACAGATTGTTGTAACATATAATAAAGGCTTGAAAATGGTGAATGTGACACAGAGACACGAAATGAGTCAATGCTGTTGGAAAAATGGTGTTGGCAGACTTGCTTGATGCAGGCTTGCCACCAACCTCCAACTTGTATCTTAAAAAGGCAGTACCTAGGAAGTGCAATACAATGAGACACACCTGTACTCCAGCTCTCCTACTCTTTGAGGGAAAAATATAAGACAAATAGCTCCTTATTTTCAGCCTTCTCTCCCACTACTCATTCCTCTGATATGGTATGGAGCACTTTTCAGGCAAGGCACAGATGTGAATGTTTGGAGATGGGAGAAATTAAGTTTTGAAAACAAACGGTTAAGCAGGTTTCCATTATGCAGAACTTCTCAGAATCCTACATGGGTCAAGGAATTGTAAAACTATAAGAAATGGATAGATGATTATTTCATTTCACTAGAGTCACTAAGATTTGTTTTTTGGCTCAGGCTTACAAACTTTTCTTGACATACAAACTTTCACCTTTGGCATTTTGTCTTACAGAAACATCATGGGTGAATAATAAGTATCAAAACATGTGTGCTTTGGAAGCGTGAGTCCATTAGCAGGAACCACATTGCCAAGAACTCTACACAAAATTCTTGAAAGACAGAAGTCGGGGGGGGGGGCATCTAAAGGAAAATCCAGTATGAACCAGTATTTTGTCTTGCCCAGCAGCTAAATTTCGGGATGCTCCTGTTGCCTTGATTTCATCATCTTTGACTATGAAGGTATGTTGTTTATGTCCTGTTGCTCAAACAAAAAACAAACCCTTAGGCAAACAAGATGGACTTATCTCCATCAGAGGAGAGGATAAGGTAAGAAACATTGATTAGAAACATCTAGAACACAGAGCAAGAGAAAACTTAAAACTCACCCAATTTGATGCTTTTTTCTTCATGTTCCAAATATTTGTTGTCCATATTCCTATTGTGTATGGCCTTCTTGACACTAAATTGAGACTCCCAACATAGAGGTTCTCAAATCATGAACTCGTAGAAGCCTCATGTTGTAGTTAATGGGACTGCTCATGAGGCCCAGCAAGAGTGAAGTCTGTTGGTTGGTTTTTACATTTCAGGGCTCAAAAAACTTATTTATAAAGAGTCAGAGAGCAGATATTTTAAGCTTGTGGGCTATATCATCTCTGCCATACCTATTCATCTCTGCCATTGTAGCATGAACTAACCACGGACCATGTACACATGATGGGGTATGGCTGTGTTTCAGTAAAACTTCTTTTACTAAAACAAATGGAGACTGGATTTGGCCCACCAGTCAGTTTACTAACCCCTGTTCTGTAGGAGAACTTGAAAAGAGCTAATGATACTTAAGTCTACAGTTTCTTATTCCTGGAAGGAACATTACTTACTTCCCTCTTCAGGGAAGGCATTAGTAACTGGCGTTGGAAATTACTTCCCATTGGGTCAGCCTTCAGAATCTTTTTCAGTAGTGTTCTAGAAATTCAGTCAGAGTTTATTTACCATATTTTACACAGTATGTTACCATGTTGGTTATAGTTTATAAACTTAACTAAATTACTTTGAAATATGCTATCTGAAGTTAGACTTCTGTAATATTTCATTTCAGTATGTGTACTGTGAGACCTATCTCAAAGACCTATCACTAGCTGAAGCTGTTTTGAGAATCATGCTCTTGGCTAGCTCACTGGGTTCTTAAACCCTTTCTCCAAAATGAAAGTAACTAATGGCTCCTGCCACTGTAGAGACTAAATCCAGTTTTCACTAATCCAGGTTCAATCAGAAGGCCACAAGTCTGTTCATACCACACACATACCACACACACTCAGGTTCTAGAAGTCATTGCCCCTTGTCATATGACATATTTGTGAAGCTGGAAGGGACACCTGAGTTAGCTTAGGCCTGGGTTGAACATGAAGGTAAGAGTCTGGAGGCAGGTGCTGGGAAGTAGGGTCCTGGAGTTTGGTCGGATCTGGGGGACAGGAAGACCCCAAATATATACGGCATGCTATTTCAACCAACAGACTATCTCAGCTACATATGTCGTCTTGAATTCTGGCCCTAAAACCTTCTCACAGCACCCTGCATTACTCACAGTTGGTCAAAGTCCTTGAGGTCCTCAATCTTCTCTCTGAATTTCTTCTGAAAGATTGGCTTGTCCTGTGGCCACTCAAGTGGTAGGTGCTCACATGTGTCAAAGTGGGGTAGTGGGCTCCTTGCTGCTCTAGACAATGATTCCTGTACTAAAGCCTTTGGCTCTTCTGAAGTCATGTCATCAACTAAACTCCCTGCTGTCTACCTTGTTAGTGTCAGCAATACTTCTGAGTCCCTCTGCCACATTCCTTGGAAGTAATTCTAGCTCTCAAATCCGCTGCCATTATTCTTCATAATCATTACTCTGGTTTCTCAGTTACTCAGGCCTCATCATTTTCAATGTGTTTTGTCCTTTGCTTCCTTGGTCACATGATGAGACTGGCCATGACCCTAACTACCTGTTTAACAAGTACTGCTCTATTGTTACCTCCTATCTTTTTAGTTCACTACCTTCACTATCTTGATTCCATCAGTTCTTCAAATCCATTTTTGTCTACTTTCCTTCACTCAATTAATTCCCTCCTCAACTACCTGAGGTTCAGTGACCTATCATTACACTCACACCTTAAGTATCTCTCTCCTTATATTGTACTCAACTGGATCCCTGAGTAACCCTACCTCTCTCTTAGATGATTATTTTCTGCTTTTCTTTCTCATTCACCTAATGACCTTGCTTCGTATTTTGTGAGAAAACAGAAGCAACATGAAGAAATCATCTATGGTTCCCATCACAATGCATCCATAGCTATTTACTCTTCTCTCCTTTCACTGATGGATGAATTGTCCACCTTCCCATCTATGGCCAATTTCGCAATGGACTCTGTTCCCTCTTGCTTCCCTCAAGGAGTCAGCTGCTTGAATTGTTCTTTCTCTCCTGGCTTACTCCCCTCAGCATAAAATACACTGTGATAACTTCCTTATGCCTGTATCCCATTCCTGCTACAACCCATTTCGCTGTTACCCTTTAGACTATAATTTCTTGGAAGAGTTACCTGTACTCATTACATTCACATCTTCTATTTACAGTCTTTGTCAAAATCCACTCCAATTAGACCTTCATTAATACCATTCACCTATACCTATCTCCTCATTACTAAATCCAGTAGCCAATTTTCAGTCCTTTCCTACTTGATTCAGCTATTGGATTTTCAGCTATATAGCATTTAGTAGTTGGTGATTCCTCCTCCTTGAAATAGTTTCTTTACTTGGCTCTTAGAACATTCCTCTCACTTTTCCTCTTCCAACCTCCAAACACCGGGTTCGCAGGGCACAGTCCTGATTGCTTCTTTTCTCTAAGCTAAGGTATACCCAAACTCAAACTGAGCTGTCTACTTGCAATTTCTGGATGTTTACTTAGCTCTACATGTCTCTGACTAGATCTTGATTCCCTCATCTACATAAAATGGCACCATCATTTTCTTAATCACTCAGGATAAAAACCTTGGGATGATGATCCCTGGTGTTTCTTTTCCTCTTACATCAAATTTGTGGTCAAATCCTGTTGATTTTACCTTGGAAATATGTAAGGAATCTGGCCACTTCCATTGCTCACATCCTCATCTAAGCTACTATCAGCCCTTGCCAGGATATTGCAATAACTTGTTAACTGTTCTGTTTCCTCCCATCTCCCCCTAGAGTCTCTCCTCCCCAGAACCACCAGAATATTAGTCAGTGATGAAAATTTTCTGGAATTGGAGAGTGGTGAGGGTTCCACAACTTTGTAAATATACTAATGTAGACTTCCAGAGGGTGAATATTACAGTATGTGAATTATGTCTGAAGAAAAAATATATAAGTTAAATCCGTCGGTCCAGAATTTTCACACCTCTTTAACCCAAAATATATTTAAAAAGACCAGTTTATCCCTGCCTCTTGATCTTTGCTTCTATTGTGCTCTTACCTGAAATGAGCTGCTTCAAATCCTTTCTACCTCACAGTCTGGTCTTCCATTTTCTAAAAAAAGCCATTCTATTCTAAACACTGCCTTCTTCTTTGTTCCCTTTGTCCATAGACCTACCAATCATTTAGCCAAGGCTCAGGCCAGCAACCTGTACAGTCTTCTTGACTCCTCCCTCCACATTGAGTCAGCAAGTGTGCCTCCCTGACTCTCCTCTTACCTCTCCCTTTATCTGTATGCCACCATTCCAGCACCAATTGCCATCATCTCCTGCTTTATTTCCAGTATCAAACCTTTTAATGGTTTTCCATTGCACTCAGCCCGAAGACAAAATAACCTAATCTTCATTACTAAGGCCTAGATTTCTAGACTCTTCTTTTTGCCTGTGTTCTATAGTTAATATACAAAGAACTCCTTTCTGAACATACCACCTGTGAATATACTATCCTCTGGCTAGTTCCTGGCAATCAAGACTCAGCCTTTGGGTCTCTTCTCATCAGGCCCTCCCTGCCTGTGGTCCCATATACCCAGCACCATCTCTGGCATCACTGCCTACTCAATCCCCTGTTCATCATCGTGCTTCTCCACCAGTCAACTAGCTCTGAGAGAACAGGACCATCTTTGTCTTCAATATTCATCTCACAGGTTAAATTGAATTCAAGCTCCTCCTTATGTACCCTTGTTTAATATCCTATGGAACTTATAGACTGTACCATCTTATTGAATATATGATATGATGACGTAGTGTCTCTTACTCTTGTGCATTGTAAGCCTTTGCAGGCTGATGTGGAGGCCCACAAAGGAAGTGCCTTATGTACCTACAGTGGGCGGTGGTCCATACCTGGTAAGTCTCAATGGGACGATTTTCCATGTTGAGATCCCAGACTTTAACGGTCAGATAGTCTCTGGTCATGATATACCTCCCACTGTGGCTGAACTTCACATCCGAAATTGAAGAGATAATTTCAGAGAAAAACGATCTGTTGCTTGGATCTTCGGGCTCTTCAAAAACTGTAGGCCAGAAGCAAAACAAGACAAAATTAGCATGTCCTTACCCACTAACTCTACCATGTTTGGGCCAGCTACAAAGCCAACACTCTAACTTGGAGTAGAATGTGCAGAGTCTAATCTAAGTGACTGACAGAGAATCTGAAAGCAGAAACAGTGGTCACTGGTTTCTGTGCTTTCTCATGGAAGGACTCACATGGGACCTGTACCATCCAGAGATATGGCACAGAGCCTTTCCAAGCTTTGGGTTGACATATCTGTTTCACAGTTCCCCTGGCCTGTGTGTGACTGCACTTAGCAACACGTGGAGTCATCTGCGATGCTTAAAAAATGTGTTTACAGCTTTTTTTGAGATATAAAACTACATACCATAAAATCTGCTCATGTGAAATTTACCGTTCATTTTTTTAGTATAATTACATAACTATATAAAAGCATCACTAATTTCAAATTTTTTTCATCAACCAAACCCCCAAAGTCCATTCCCATTTGTAATAATTCCTCATTCCCTATTCCTGCAGCCCTAGGAACTGGTTAATCTGTTTTCTTATTCTATGAAATTGCTTAATCTGGAAATTTCCCATAAATGAGAAATTATATGAGATAGAGTTTTCCTGGGACTGGCTGCTTTCTCTCAGTATACTGCTTCCTGTAGTGTATCAGCACTTCATTCCTTTTTATGGCTGAATAATAATCCATTGTATGGATTATACCACATTTGGTTTATCCATTTTTCAGTTGCTTAACACTTGGCTTTCTACTTTTTGACTATTATGAATAATGTTGCCATCAATATTCATGGACAATCTGTGTGTGGACATTTATTTTTATAGCTCTTGGGTCACAGTTGTTAATAGTGGCACTTGACTGAACCTCAGTTATTTTGTATATATTGTGCCTTTGCTCTGACATCCAGGCACTATTACTTCTCAGTAGTTTCAGCTGACCATTTAGAGGAATGAACGTAAGGCTCCTCAGTTGGGACAACAAATCCTATCAGATGCTGCTATAACATGCCTCTCTACCTTAACTTTGAACTTATAGAAGATAGCTTAGGTATATCTTGACCTTTCCCATTTCTATGCCTGATTGTTCTGTCTATATTGACTCAACTTCTGCTGGACTCACAGGCCTCATCTTTCACTACTATCTGGGCCTTAAATGATCTTTTCACACTTGGTCTGGCGCACTCACTTAACAGGACCTCGGGTACTCTCACATTATGATTTAACAATCCCTGCGTTTGTGTTATCTCAACTGTAATGTAAGCTTCTTGCACATGAATGTTTAATAAATATGATTAGAACCAGAGCTAGATCAATGAATGAATGAATGAATTTGCCATCTCGGTGCTCAGCATGTATGATGGAGAGGTATATGCATTTGCCCATACTTATTTTTAATCTAGACCAATGGTAATTGAGTATGGTTCCACTTAACAAGTGTTTGCATCACAGTTCTGAACACCAGGATGTATTATTTAATACATCCTCCAGAGCTTTCTCTTTCCTGCCTGCTCAACACACTCACAGATTCCGTATCAAATTCTATGTAGAAAATCTAAGGCTATAATGAATTCCCTTTCAAACCTGCTGAATTAAACTCGGAGCTGAACCAAAATACTAATTGTCACCTAACCATTTAAGAGAACAACAAATAACCCTCATCAATCAGAATTGAACTTGAGAATTAGACTCACTGAAACAGAAAAGCCTCTTGGACTTTAATCAGGCATTCATGAAGGCCCCTGGACTCTGACTAGTGTCCTCATAATTGAGAACTAGATTTTCACATTAGTTTCTCTTCAAGGGACTCTCGGTAGGACTGGGAACTTCCAAACTCCAGACAAGCCCCATGCAAACATCTCAATAGCTAAGTGGGAGCCCTGAGGCTTAGCAACCTCCCACCTGATGTACCTGCAGTGAATGGGAAGGGATCAGCACACTGCCCTCTGGAGTCCATCAATTTCTACCTCTGGCGCTTACCAGCTGTTCACATTCTATTTACTTCTCTGAGATTCAGTTCTCCCAGCTGCAGAAGGGGGATGTTCCATATTGCTTGGAACATATGATTGGCACATTGTAGGTTCTCAATAAATGTCAGGAGCTGTTTTTATCCTCATTAGCATACACTGCCTCTGTATAGGCCAATTGTATTTTATTCCAGACTGAGACTTGGGGACTGAGTACAGAACTTGTGGGCTATTTCAATGACGTAAAGAATGTTTACAAGGTTATACCTAGCAGCCTGTTCTCTGTATGCATGGCATATTGGGATGTTAGCGTAGCAACCCTGTAAAGCCCAAAAAGGACAGCCCCAGAAGATGGAGCGGAAATGAAAGAAGGCAATTCTTTCATCAGCCTACCACTAATTACCATGTACGACACAGAAGGCAGGTTATAGACAATGGATTGGCCAGCACAGCACTTGGCAGATTTTTCCATGACTATATTTACTGAAGTCTTAATATCAATGCCATGACTTCTTTTCATTCGTTCAGCAGCAACATTTCACATATTGGTAATTACCGTTTACAGGAAGCTTACTATGTTCCAGGCCCTGGGCTTTTCATCTATTTAGTCCTTACACTAATCTCACATAAGAACAGTGATTCCTTATTTCAGATGTGAAATATTAAGGCACAGAGAGGTTTTGTAACCTGTCTGAGGACCGCAGCTCAACCGAGGTAGAGGCATTTTGTACTCCGATCCATCTGGCTTCAAAGTCCTTGTTCTTAATCATGATGTGATTCTGCCCTGCATCATGTACACATGTACACATTTGCACAGCTGTGAAAAAGGTAACCAGAGTAGAATCTAGAGAGAATCACAGAATCTCAAAGCTGGAAGGTTTTTTCCTCCCTGGTTATCACACTATTTTTTATTATGTATTAATTAGATGATAGTCAGTGGAGGGGCTCTTAATGATGACTGCTCCTACCCTATCCTTTTTATACGGCCAGAGTCCTCAAAAGAATCAACTCCTTTCAAACACTTAAGGAACACAGTTTCTACAGCAAGGGGTCATGAGTTCACACCATCAACAGCCAGCATAGTTGGGGACCTCAGAACTTTGTATGACTCGAGACCTTTATATCACAATAAGCCCAGACCCTCAGGCCATCTCTCACCCCTGGGGTCTAATCACTATGGCCTATCAGCAGTAAGACAACCTTTCCTCCCACTGGCCCTCACCTCCAGTTTATATGCATTGGCTTTTAATATATTTTGTGTCTCCTAATATGCAAGCTCTACGAGGGGAGGGGTTTTTGTCTGTTTTACCTGGATGTATTCCCTGAAACAGAGGCATGCTCAGTAAATATTAAATGAATGAATATTGACAAGCCATTTTAATTTCTACAGGAAAATAATACTTATTAGTTCAACAGGTCCCTAGCTAAGCAGTGCTCTATACACCTCGGATTTGTTCCAATTCCTTGAAAAGTATGAAGATAAATACATTCAATAGGAAGTCATCTGTAATTCAAGGTTTTCAGTAATTCAGCCTGTACAATCCTTTATCAGCTATTTAAGCGTCTTTTACATGCATTCATACACATGCAAGAGCACTTAGTACATGACCTAGAACATTCAAAAAATTATTATTATTATTATTATTTTTTGGATGCACACATGCCAGGTCCTGTACTGTTGATGAAGGACAAGGAGCAAGATAGATCCAGTCCTACTCTCCTGGAACTCATGGGCCAAAGGAAATGACAAATGTTAACCATTCACACAAACTTAGTTACAGGTGTGAATAAGTGATATTTTTTACTGTATTATCAGAGGCAAGGGAAGGTACTGGGGAACCAGCTAGGGGAATATAAATGGAACATCACTGTGTGTTCCACGTAATTTACTAAACTTATGGTACAAAAGGTTCGAGTACCTGGGTATTTCTCTTGGAGCCCCTTGGCTTAGCATTAAAAATCCTGTTGACCTACATGGTTGCCAAAGAGGCTCTAGAAAATAAAGCACTCAGGAAGAGAAAAGAAGAGACTTTGGACAGAGAGAAGAAAAGCTCTGTTCCCCTTGTGAGCAAAGATTCTGGATGAATGAGAATCCAAAGAGCCCAGATCGAGGCCCTGGGAATGTGTTAGATTTGCCAACAGGGAGCGTGTGTCTCAGAGACAACATCAAAAGCAGTAATGATACCTATCATTTCTTTGCACACATCATCCCATTTACGCTCAAACCTATCAGAATGATACTCTCAGTGTCCTGAGTTAGAGAGGAGATGGACCAAGTGAGGCTGAGTAGCTTGCTCAGGATCACACAGTAAGTGAGTAGCAGAGGGGGACTTTCAAAGGACTATCCGTCTGCCTCCCTGTTACACTGTCTCCACAACCAGGCCTTCCCTTGCTCTGTCAGTATCATTTCTCTGCTCATACAACTGAATCAAAGTGGGCTCTCTCATGTTTTAGAGGTACCTGTGAGTTCCCACTTCTGTACTTCTGTTCCTCCTTACCTATTCATGTGCCCATCGGAAGATACTGTAAAGATAGTCAGCCTGAGAATTGCCGATGCTGGGTTGGAATCCAGGCCGGACACAAAATAGCCGCTCCTATTCACACCTAGTATTGTTGAACAATTACACTGTGCACTTTACATATATTAACTTACTCAACATTCACGGGTATTATTTCCCTTTTGGACAAATCAGTCTAGTTCATCAACCCAGGCATGGGTTCTCCTACTCATAGGCAGGAGGCAGAGCATGGATTCTAACTTGGTCTGTTCCCAGCCTATGCTTTTAACCTCTGATCTGCCTCTCATTTCAATGGCTGGGCCACCATTGGCACTCTGGACCCATCCTCTTGTCTATCATATGAAGGAGGTAGGATTGTCTACCAGGTGACTTCCCCCTCTCGGATCATAAGACCCATGGATTCCAGAGGTCTTATTTTTTAGTTTTCTTCTACCAATGCCCAGTACTCTAGGTTAGCCTTCCCAAGGTGACTTCAGCAGAATACTCATGAATATAGAGGCTGAGGTCAAAAA